TCCAGAAGTTATAATAGGATCGATGATAATTAGTTCTTAGATAGCATAGCTAATAAGATAAATCTAAATCTAGAGTTTGAAATACTGTATATGCTTAGCTTATATTCTGATATTATAAATTGTATGCTTGTATTCTTTCTATATATTTCTGATATACTTTATTTATATATGTTAGATGATAAGATATCTTACTTCTATATTTTAGATTATAGAGTATTTGAGACTATGAATTAGGGTTTGGAATTACTTATGTCTGCTCATTTAGCTTGTAGGTAATCTGTATTTAACTTTTCTATGTTAAAGTTCATAGTAAGCTACTAGCTAGTTAGAGTTCTTATACCTATACTTTAACTTGTAGAGTACTTGTTCTTTAGATGTTTTTATTTCTAAAGATTATAATAAGCTACTAGCTTTAATTTGAGTCCTTATTCCTACAAGTTTAGTTCATAGAATACTCATTTTTAGATATTCCTAACTTGGAAATTGTAATAAACTACTAGCTTTATTTCAAAAATTAATAATTCTGAATTTTAATTCAACTTTGAAAAGTCTATATAATATAAAATAGATCTTATTTAGTTTGAGTAATATAGAGTAATTTTTCTCTTTTTGTATTATAATATAACATAAATCTATTCTAGAAGTTATAGATCTTTTTTTCAGTATTTGTATAATATAGACTAGATATAACATAAATTGAAATTAGCAAAAGAGAAAAGAGAGACTTCTAGGTTTCTAAGAGAAGCTTCTTTAGAAATTATCAAAAGAGAAAAGAGAAGTTTCTTTAACTTTAAAAAAGGTTTCTTTAAAGCTTCTTTAAAGTTTCTTTAATTAATTATCCTTCTGAGAATATTTCTTTATTTTTTCATTAAAAAACATCAAAATGTTACAAGTATTAGCCTTCTTAATATAACATAAGTAATATAAGATATAGAAGAAGAGCTCTTAATAGTGTTCAAGTAGAATATTACTTTACTATAGCAGTTCATTATAAAGTTAATAAAAGAGCAAAAATTATATTTTATTTAAGATACAATATTAATAATACAAGACTATCTATTAGTTTCTATACTAAGAGAATTCTAATATTAAGAAGATTGCAAAAGTTAAATCTAATCTAAGATAAAGAGAAAAAGAAGGGTTTATATAGCTTTTTACAATTAAGAATAAGAATAATAAAAACAGTAAAAATGATAAAAACAGTAAAATAATTATAGTTGTTTTTAAAACAACTTAAAAACTAAGAGTTCTACAATTATGAATTATAGCTCATTTGAAAGTCTCTTTGAGCTAGATCTAATAATACAACTTAATTCTATCTGTGACTATTAAGTTATTTGTAAAAACAATACTAATAAATAAAGTACCTTTAAGAAATTAACTATTTATAATAAAAATACTAATAATAAAATAATAAAATAAAATTTAAAACTCATTTTATAGCAACATATAGCTTACTTTATGCAAAGAAAAAACTACAATATCAACAACAACTCAAATATACTACATATATATAATGAATCTAATCTTATTACTACTATTTTTCAAAACAGACTTGTAACAAATATATTACAAAAAATAAAATCAACAATCTCCAAGTAATACCAACATATAGCTAATATAAACATATTCTGCAACTCATCAAAAACAACATAAGCAAAAACTTACTTTACTAAGAAAATTAATAACAAAGATATTTTTATAGTTCAAATTACTTTATAGTAATCATATATAAGAGCAATCTGTATTACAATAATTACTATACTTCTTACTCTTCTGCTAAACTATATACTCACTATATTTACAATCTCAAATACTATTATTAACATCTACAACCTATTCAATTAACAAACATTATATTAAATTAACAAAATACAGAAAAACAAATACTAGCTACTTTAGTACCTTATATTTATCATACTTGTACGAACAGATATTAAACTACAAATAACTTTTTCTGACTATCAAAACTTAACATCTACTAATTCTTTTAATATACTATATCTTATTTTTTTTAATACTAATATTGATCATAACATAGTCATATCTTACTTCTACTAGAATATAATTGATAATAGAATATGAACAGTTATTAAACATATACAACTAGCTAATCATACTACAACTTAGTACTCACAAAAATATACAGAAAACTAGAACAACACAAGCATAAATACAGATTGAAAAGCATTCTATAAATATATTAATATTTATAACATTTCAAATAGCTTTTATATTTTATTCAAACACTCTATACTAAAAGTATTTAAACTAAAATTCCTAATAGATAAACTTCTAACTCAACAAAATCTTTATATCTATTACTCTAATAAAACAAATACAAATATTTATCAACATTGCAATACAATTATCAAAACTAACAACTATTAGATCATTTGTCACAAAAACTATACTAATATCTTAACTATTATTAAGACAATTACTACTAAATATATAAACAAATATATCAAACTCTCTAACCAAGATTCTATTACAGATATTATCTATACTTCTCTACAATATCTCAAGATACAACCAGAAAATACTTCTAACAACTCAAATACTATTCTCCATAACTTTATTCCAACAACATTCATCACTTATCTCTTCTAAAGTCTAACTGCTAAAAACAAAAATACACTGCATACTACTCACCTTCTACACAAAATTATATATAAAGTATACCAACAGATTTGAATTCTATGATATCAACAACTATCTAATACTACTCAATGCAATAATACTATCACACAGATAATTACTCCACAAACTACTAGCAGACTCACTACCAAACAAATAAAAACACAGATTATAAGAGATAAAAAAGAAATTTGGTCAAAAACTTACACTAAATATAATATTACTAATATATTCATAGCAAAGATCCAACTACAAATCTAGATGAGGTCAATGGCCCAGTAGAGTACAGGCCGAGAGGTAAACTAGCCCTAGCTTAGGTAACAGTAGTTCATTAATATAACACAATATTTGTACTTATATTATAAAACTCAATAAAATCCAAGGCAAGGCCTCATTCTATAAAAAAAATATATATATATATTGTTTGAAGATAAAACATAAAATTTAATTAACTATGAGTATAGTAATAAGATCTTATACTTCTCACTACGAATTTTAATATTTTAAAATAGTTTTTTATATGCCTCACATAACATCGCGCAATGTAATCTTGCGTGAGGTTGTGAATAAATGCTAGTTTGACCTCGCGAGAGGTACATCACTAGTCCAAACTAATTCGAAAAAAAATTACGTCAAACTGTAAATTCCGAAAAAAAAACTTGAAAGCAGGTATTTTATTTTTTATTGTGAGTTAGGTAATTGATCCAAAAAAATCCATAATTTTCGGATTTGATATACAAAAATTTCGTAACTATTTATCGTTATTGCATTAATTATTTATTCGCTAATTACGATGTCGATATTCGTTAAGTTACAACTATAACGTCATACACAAAATACGTATTTTAAAACGGCAAGTTATAACTTAGTTACGACACGGCATGTCCCAGTTTCGCCTGCACTTATACTCTTTATTAACAACACTAACCCTAAATCCTACCCCAAAACATTATCTGTCTTTTTATTATTAAGTATTAACCAATCAAATCGAATGTCCTCTATGCTCGATTCTTATAGTAAATTTTTTGAGGAGTAGAATTTAGAATTGAAAAGTTCTTTAGAGCAGGGTTGGGCAGCCTTCTATGTCCGGTGAATTTTACCGGACACCGGACATAAAATTGGTCCAGTGTCCATTGATCTAGCAGTATATTACTGTCCTAATTTATTTTGATTGCTTGACTCTGAACGTGAACAGAGGTTTCTTTTTTCAAAAAAAAAAAAAAATTTTAGAAATTTAAATTTCATCGGGCAACCCACTTGTCCGATTGCCCAACCCTTCTATGCCGAACTAAAGGTTCAGAAAATTAACTGTATCGGTATTTACTATTCTTGTTTTTGTATAAAATTTAGATAAATCCTGTTCTATTTCAATATATACTGTAGTTGTTGCACTTGTGTATAGATTTCTTGTATGAAAGCACATTTACTTCTATTTATAAAATGTTTACAATAATGAATTTGACCAGAAAAAAGTTAAAAGTATATAAAGTCAGACTTCTTTAAATACATCATCCTTCTTGGAACATAGTAAAAATAAATAAAAAATAAAAAATAAAGGGAATGCCTATTTCCACCATAATAATTTGCTATTTCCATCATAATTAATTATATTACTCTAAACTAATTCTAGTTCCGTCTATATGGTGGAAATAGACGTTCCTAAAATAAAAAAAAAAGCAAGATGTGTGCATTTATTATTAATTAGGTAGGGATCAAGATAATCATGCATTTAGAGAGTAGTCATTCGAATCTGCTGAAAGTCAGTTATTCCAATAAAAAAAATAAAAATAAAAAAACAAATAATGTTTTTTTTTTTCTGTAAATATCGTGCCAAGAATTTTGGCGGAATTTTTATGTTCCGAATTTACCGAAATACTGGTACGTGATCTTGATAATATTCCTATTGTTCCATACTTCCCTTTGTCTCCTGGTAATAGTGAATCGTTTAGTGATTACATGTCGATCGATCGTTATATTATAACAAAAGTTTCAAAGCATCAAACATAATATAGTCAAAGATACTTACATTCGACTGATATCAGATATCTTTTTTAGTACGTACAAGGTACTGTACAAAAAAAAAAAAAATCGATATAAATGGTTTATTATTTATTAAGCTATGTACTTAAGTACAAAGATATCATTATGTTTTCGGATATTAAACATGTGATTCGTAACGATAATTAAAATTCGGCTGCCCTGTATATTAAATGTTAATAAATTATGCATTATTACATACAGAAATACAAACGTAGCATTCTTAATAAATTTACGGTAAGTTAAAAGAACGAATTATTTACTACGTATCTCTTTTAACAATTTTTTTTTATAACTTTAATATATTTTATTTAATCAGCAAAATGAGTGAAAATGAGAAGACTAATAACGATAATGTAGAGAACGATCAAGAGATTCAGCTTCCTGAGTCGAAAAAAAGCGAATATAGTGGTTTTTTGAAAACTCTTTCTACTTTTACTGGCGATATATATAGTTTAACTTGTCCTAGTTTTCTACTGTCTGGTGTTTCAACATTGGAGTATGGGTATGTAAGTATAAATTTTTGTGTTTCTTCTTTATACCATTTTTTTACAAATTTTTCTTTTAATTATTCCCGAAAATAGTCAGTATTGGGCAGATTACCCTGAACTTTTTGCTCAGATTTCAAAGCCTACCGACGAAGCCGAGAGGGCCGTAGCTGTTCTTAAATGGTTTGTGAGTACTCTATATGGATCTTTCGCCTCTAGAAAAGATAAAGAAAAAATCGAGAAAAAGCCTTTCAATCCAATTCTTGGTAAGGTTTTAATATATAGTTATTACCTTTAAATATTTTTTTTTTTTTTTTTTTAAAAAAAAAAAAAAAAAATTTGTTGGTTTGGCTTTAAATTAAATTTGAATTCACAAATTTTATTTTTTAAAGATAATTAAGAACTTAACTGTGATTCAAATTAATTTAAATAAAACTAAACAGAGATTTAAAGGCGACAACATTAACTGTTTGAATTTTAGAGTAGATGTTATTTCAACTTCATTTTATATGACAATTCTTAATCAATAGGCGAACAATTTTTGGCAAAGTGGGGGGATATGGCTGGCTGTGGTGAGACTGTCTTATATTCAGAACAAGTTAGTCATCATCCACCAATTTCTGCGATTTATCTTGAAAATGATCACGCTGGAGTGTCAGCAAATGGACATAGTATGTACTTTCGACATTTTTAATTATCAACTTTTTAGATCAGTTTAATTAATACTAAATTTTTGTACAAAAAAAACTAAGCTGGACAAAAAACACAATTTAAGGCCACATCTGCACGTATTGATGTTATACAAGTTGGTCACGTTATCGTTCGTCTACGAGATTATGATGATAATTATTTGATAATGTTGCCACCTTTACAAATTCTTGGTTTATGGAGAGGTGCTCCTTATGTAGAATTAAGGTTTGTTGTTGAAAACTACATAATAATTTCTATGTTGGTTGAATCTATCTATCTATTCTCGATACATATTTAATATAATATTGTTATATAGTGGTACGAGTGTGATCCAGTCTCAGAATTTCAATACGGTTATCGAATTTAGTGGTAGAGGGTGGATTTCTGGAGAGAAACACACTTTTCATAGCGTGATACGTCGTAATGGATCTAAAGATCCTTTATATACTGCCTCAGGAACTTGGTCGGGGAAATCTATTTTAGAAAATCACACGACAAACGAAAAATCCGTTTTTCTTGATATAGAAACCTCTTCTAGAGCTACTCCTATTATAAAACCAATAGACGAGCAAAATCCTTTAGAGAGCATAAAGCTATGGCAACATGTTTCAAAAGCAATAAATGAGGGTGATTTTTCAACTGCTTCTAAATTAAAAGTAAGAAATTGTTCATCACATATACTAATTTCTAATCATAATATATAAATTAGTAATTGGGTTTTTTTTTTTTATTGCTAAATTTTTGACAGGGCGAAATTGAACAACGTCAACGTGATAAAGTCAAACGTGGAGAAGAAACTACTCTTCAATATTTCGATTGGATTGAAGAAGATAATGAGTTTCAATCCCTTTTTGACATGATTAATAGTAAATTAAATTTAGAACACAAGTATAAAGAAAAAGGAAGTTGGGTGTTTAAGAAATTATTGTTTAAAGATAATAATTAATTTTTAAAAACATAATTTACAAATATAAATCATTTATTTATTTTCCGTGAAGATTATTATTCTTTTTTTTGTTCGATTTTGTTATAATCTATTTTATTTAGACAAATCTTCAGGCATTGAAAACCAAATTTTTTTTTTTTTCTTTTTATATTTACATCAAACAAATAATTAGGTCAATTATAAATCAAGAACATTGATTCTTTCAATAACTATTGATACATAGTCTTTATTATTGTTTCGAAATGTTATCCACTAGTTTTTTATTATGTTTGTCGATTATATCAATTTTAACCAATTCATTGGTTATAAAAGTTAAATTCCTCAAATTAACCAGAATCACATTCTACATTATGATCTTCTGAAAATCACGGCTAAAAATTGGATTTCGATTTAACGTTAGTGATGAAACCCAAACTATTTAGGGAAAGTAATCTGCATTATGCAGTTTGGAATTATGGACATTCAAATCATTATTACGTAGTATACGTATAAAAAAAAAATTAAATATGTAAAATTTGCATTAAAATTTACATCAAAATTTACATCATAAATATATTTATAATTTGGGACTTTTTGTTACGGCAAACGCAAAGTCCCTAACTAATTTTGCCAGTTTGGTCTCATCACTAATTCATGATTGCAGATTCTAAATTTCATCATTCTTGTGATTTTCAGCAGAAAATCATCGTCCCTGATTAACCGATTATTAGTACCCAAGTGAATATACGTAAAAATTGTGATTGGCTGATCTACATAACAAATAAAACCGCACAACTTTTTTTTCATACTTTTCTCAATCAGCAATTTTTTATAGTATAATTTAGAGAAATCTTTATTAAATTTCTAATAGTTCTAATAATGTTCATATTAAGGTTCGACCGTCCTTTTTAAGTTTTTTTGGCGTTCCTACTGTTTAAGGTTTACTGGTTCTGTAGGAGGGGCCGGTTATGTACCTTACTTAAAAGTCAAAGAAAATTATAGAGGTTTGGTGAGGTAGTGATGGTGTTATTCCATCTAAGCTCTCGAGAGAAATAGGTATATTATCGACTTCTTGGTATATTGCGTAATAACCGATATAATTTACTTAGTCGAATCTCCTAACTTGTGAAGATTCGGTTGAGTTTTTGTAATTTTGTCATAATGTATAAGTAGGTCAGTGGGAACCAAAATGAATTATTTCGGTTGGCTACCGTAAATAAGTCGGTAACATCCCTAGGGATGAGAAACTATAGCTTCTTATCTACTCCATCGGGAATTGGGATGAGATACATCTAAATAGGGTCATTGCTAGGAAATTCAAGCTTCGGGACTATATAAAATTTACAGACAAAATTAAATTTTTCTGGTCATCCAGTAATCTAATTTGAGTAAATATTTTTTTATTTTGTAAAGCTTTGCTGAGCTTTACAAAATAAAAAAATATTTACTCAAATTAGATTACTGGATGACCAGAAAAATAAATTTTGTCTGTAAATTTTATATAGTCCCGAAGCTTGAATTTCCTGGCAATGACCCCAAGTATCTCAAAAAATTTCTTATTGTATCTACAGTATATATTAAAAATAAAGATTTGTTTTAAAAAAAAACAATTACTCAAAAATCTGATGTAAAAGGAACCTTGTAATTAGCGGTTATTGCCTTGTTGCTTTTTTGTGTGACTCCGCATACTACGCAATGTAATCACAAAAGTTAGCTTGGGATTTAGATTGAAATGCGTAAAGACCTTGTGCCAAAAACTCTAGGTTATCAAGTGTAATTTGACGATCTCAAAAATTAATAATCATGAAATATAACTCGCGAAATCGCAAAAATCATTTTTATATATGTGGATAAATAATTTACGCATATGATTCATATCAGTGGATTCGGTTCAAACCCAAAATTAATTTCCGAACTAATCAAAATTAAAGATTCAAAAAATTTATTACAGAGCAAGAACGGCTTTTTTTTAATTTGCTTTGAATCTATAATGAAATGTGTAGAAAGTTATGATATCTATATATTTAATTATAGGTCAAAAGTAATTTAAAAAGACCATTTCCTTGAAAATTTGCTTCCGACATCAAACAATGACCAACTCAAAACTCATCCAAAACCACTCGAACTTTCAATAAATAGTGATAGTGCTTGTTTCTACAGCTTAGTATAGTCGTTTTATTTTATTTATTATCTCGTACAGGTACTAAAGCTCTTTTATTAATTGTGACAAGTGCTTCGTTTTTTACTTTTCAACGTTACTTAAGAGTAAAACTGTGTAACTGTCTATCCCAAAAATCAAATTCGTCGATATGTCTTATTGAGAGTTCTTATTGACAAAGATAACAACACTGATATCAATGAGTGACTATTAAAAAGTTTTTTTTTTTTTGAAAAATTTCGCTTATTTCGTCGAGAAGATACAATTAAAAAAAACAAAATTTCGAAGACTAATAATCGGCAAGACACTTTTTGATTGGTTGGTTTTTTTTGAAATTATACCGTAACTACTTAACGTTAAGTGGTGCGATTAGATGATTTGCACCATAGCGATAAACAAGCTCATTTCATAGATAACCAACCAACTTCCAACTTAGATGACACTCATTTGACATTATAATTCACAGACAATTACTTCCGACAAGCTTATTTCACAGACAACCAATTCACCGACAAGTGACACATTATTTCACAGACAGCCACTAGATTGTTGGTGAAATAATACGAACCCAATAACTTATTGTATTTCACAAATTTTGGCTCATTTCACAGACATTATTGTTATTAGGTTTTAATTTAGATTAGAAGGTTGTCCGTGAAACGTTAAAAAAATTTTTGTTACCTAAAATATATCAATCAGTCACACGATTTTCCTTAGATTGACATCACTCGCGTGGGAGTTTTCTATATGTTACATACACAAAAAAAAATGTTAATAGTTTTGTGGTCCGTTTAGCCGATGCTTTGATTTTGCTTAGGCTTTGAGTAGTTCATGCCGGTTATTGGTTTGATTTCGCATAACATTTTATTAATTTGAGAGTAGTCTTGACCATTAATTTTTCTGATTTTTTTTTTTTTTTAAGCTGTTTCAGACATTTTTTTCATACCAGGATATTTGAAGACAGACTACTACTCTCGCTCGAAATAATGCTTTGAGAGGTCTGTTTAACCAATGCTTTGATTCTGTTTAGGCTTTGAGCAGTGCACAACGGTTACGGTTTGATTTCGCATAAAAAATTGTTTGGAGCAAGAGTAGTAGTTCGTCTTGAGCTCCTTGAAAGAAAAAGAAAAAACCCGAAAAATATGTATCAGATGAGATTAAATAGAATAATTAAGTTCAGGGTTTATCAAAAAATAAAGTGTGTTTATATTTATTTTTTTTTATATGATAAGTTAAAAATAACGTACTAAAATGCACTTACTCTAAGTAATAGAGCGTGTTCGTTAAAATTAGGACTTATGTTAGAGTACGTTAAAAAAAAAAAAGAAAAAAAAAGTATGCTTTCGGATTTTTTTTTCTTTTTGTTATACTGTACACGTAAATGTATTTTAATTGTTAATCTCAATTCTAGATATATATTATACATTAATTTAAAAGAACTATGATATAAAGTATAATGCAACTATAACACTAAAAAAAAATGATATGAAATCACTATTCTTAAGAAAATCACTATTAATAAAATTCAATTTTGAAACTAATAGAGATTAGTAGTATCTATTAAGTATAAGGGTGCATAGCTAGTTTGAAAAAAAAAAAAATCGCGGGATGTAGATTTTATTGTGCATATTGCAATATATAACTATTAATTCTAGTGCTTTATTACGTAACTGCACGCCAAAATACTTTAATTTTAACTAAAGGTTAATCAATATCGATATCTTTGGAAGTAATTACGAATCAAATTTGCGCACCAAATCATAACGTCTCAATTATAGATAACTTGTCACGCCTACAACAATAGCATATAGTCGTCTTTTTTTCACAGTTAGAAATTACATAAATATAATTTACTGCACGTACTTTAAAAATAAAGCCTTTATCAACGTTTTATTTCTTGAAAAAAAAGGGGGGGTGATAAAAACGGTGATTTTACTTAGTTGAAAATCATACTTTTACAATGTTTGAAAAAAAAATTATTATACAATTTATTAATAATTAATAAAATGAATTTTGCTAACTATAACCGCGGTGATCATCACTGGTGTGTGTTATTAGCCAATAAATTTGCAGGATCAGGTGTAACGTGCAAATAAATTTGTGTAACAAAAATAAAGATTTTTTTTTTTAAAAATGCCAATATATCAAGAATTCGCCTATGAAACCACCTTCGACGTTCTAACAAAAAAAATTCCTTGCTAAATTCTGCATATATCTAATGCCTAGATTAAATCCCAAGCCTCGCCCTAACCCTAAAGTAAATGAAAGAAATCTTTTTTTTGTTTTATCGTCATTGGCTAATTAAACACCGGCGATGATCACCGCGGTTACAATTAATAAAAAAAAAAAATGATACATTAAAAATAAATAAAATATTTAATTATTTTTTAATATTATAATTATCATCATCATCATCTTGACTTTTACGTTTCATCTCTCTTAAAAGTGTTTCCGCGGCTTTATTTAGACGTTTATGTTTTTCATATTTTTTAACATTCTCTGTCTTATTATGATTATGAATTGTATATCGCTTCATCTCCGGAACTAGAGTGCATATTTTTTTTCCGTCGTAAAGGAATTCATATTTGTTAGGAAGGTTTACCACAAAATACTCAGGTTGAGTTCCAGGCATAGGAGGATTAGAAATATTATTTGTAATATCATTGCAAATAATTCCTTTAGGAACCTTTTCACATTCTTCTAAAGGATCGTCATCTAGGAAAAAAACACGAGCATGATTTGGTTGAGGTAGGGTTTCAATTTTCATCAAAAAGGTAGCATCATCAAAATCAATGACTTTATCAGGTCCTGGAAAACTCAGCGTAGCAGCGATAGTAGGCATACTTTAAAATAAAAAGTTTTAATTTTTTTTTTTTCCTTTTTTTTTTTTTTTTTTTTTTTTTTTTTGTTTCTTTAATAATATTTTACTTATTCGTTTGAAAAAATGTGTACGTTGAGAAAGTTCGAAAATTTGGACATTTTGAATATATTTATATAATTGTGCACAAAATTAGAAAGTGGTACAATTCACTTTTATGGTTCTATAACGATGAAGACTTTAGCATTTCACTAACTAAAATAAAACTTGGGCGCGGAATTCTTTTTCCGAATGTTGATAGTCGCGACGGAAAAACCTCGATTATCGAATACCCCCTGGTCAACCCAATCTACATGACTTTTTTCAACTTATTTTTCCTGGAATATGTCATATCGATATTATCTAGAAAATTGGTAATGGTTATATCCTAGTCAGTTGGGCATATGTGGAATACGTGGAATTTAAGAATAGCAAAATTTTCCGATTAATCAGGGTATATCGATATAATTTATTAACTAACACTAAATACTACTTGTTCCCTGTAACGTTATGTTTAAAGAGACTATTAAACATACTAATATAATTAGAGCTCATATATATTTTAACACAGTTAAATTTAGCGAAATAAACATTTTATTAGCATTCTTAAAATAGTACAAGTGAAATACATAATATACAAATTTATTGTGCTTTTCAAATTATTGTGACCATCCATCACACCGGAGATCCAAAAATTTTAACACTTTTTTATGAATAAATCTAAATAATTAATCAAGAAATAGAAATTCCAAAGATTCCCAGTTATATTTCAATTTTACAGTATCTCTACTAGTTCACTAGTGCTGGTAGTTAGTTTTGAAAAATAATATAAAGATTCCCTGTTTCTTTTTTTCTTTGTTTTTGTTAGCGAGAATCATGATACTATTCTTGTAAAACTAAACTACCAGCACTAGTGTACTAGTAGAGATAATATTGTAGAATTGAAATACGTATAACTGGGAATCTTTGGAATTTCTATTTCTTGACTAGTTATTTAGGTTTATTCATAAAAATTTTTGGATTTCCGGTGTGATGATCATCGGAGCACAATAAAATGTTAAAATAAACTACGTACAGTACATATTATCATTTTAAAATAGTAAATTAATTATTAAAGTTAATACGTAGTAATGTTTTTATATACTTAATAAATTTCAACCTTTTTTAACTAAGTTGATATTCGTTAAACCATTTCTTAAAGTTAGTTGATATAATATTATCGGAATTAATAATAGTTGTTTCGTTAAATGTTTTTTTTTTTAGAAAGTTAAATAGTTATATTTTGATCGGTATACAATTCAGCCTAGAAAAAAAAAAAAAAGTATAATAGTTAGTTTATGTAGTAATTAAAAATAAATAAGCAATGGCGATAGTACAAATCAATTTACATCGATAGTACGTATATAAATCTTGTACGTAGATTCGTCAAAGCTTGATGTTATATTTTAGTAAAATTTAAATATAATACTTGTATTTCTGTTATAACTAAAATAAGATTACTTAAAAAAAAAAAAAAAATTATATTAGAATTGGGGGAATACTATATTTTAGTCTTCAATCAATAATTAACATTCGTTATAGTTGAACCTGTTATATTAACAAAAATTTGCATTTACCTATAAGTCACGAAAAAAAAGCTACTTAAAAGTTCTGATATTGATGATGATTGGAAAAAATCATTGATTGAAAATAAATATTCGCTGTTATAGATTCCTATTACGAATTTGAAAATATTAAAAAGATAGGAGAAGGTGGGTTTGTAACTGTACACCTTGCTACAGTAAACCGAGCTGGAATTTATGACATTTTTCTTAACTGGCAAAATAATAGATATTTTATTGAAATTGTTCGAGTATTATAAGAAAATACAAAGTATTGCAAATGAATTTATGCAAATATATAAAATAAGGTATAAAAGCAAAATTATTTAATATAATAGTAAATATAAATTTATTAATATCTTTTTTATTAATTAACGTTAATTAATTATTCTATATATTTTTGTAGATAGTAAACTGCATGAATTAGTTATAAATCTATTTGAAACTAATGAATAGAATTAAATAAATGAATTTGAATTATTAATAATTAAATGTTTATTAGTTTTAGTCGAATTTAAAACTTAAATTTTTATTCAAATTTAAAATTTATTAATAGTTAAATTTTGATATATCATTTAAATCGTTGTCATTCAATTCCCCAAAAGTAGAGATGTAATC